GGTGGATGGAGGGGAGTCTTTGTGAACAGGGCAGTTCTTTCTGAAATCCCACTGCTGAGTCTTGAGGAGGGTTACTAGGATGGCTTGGGGAAGACCTATAGCTGCTGGGCCACTTCTAAACTTGAAAAGAGGAGGGCAAGGGTGGGTGGAGAGGGGTGAGGTGGAGTTAGTTGCTGTCTAAGGAACCTCTGAAGACGCAGGGATTCCGTTTCTGGGCCAACTTCTGTGCCACCTGGAGAGGGGGCCAGCAGGTCCCTAACCCTGGAGGCTAGGAACCAGCGAGTAGGTGCTTGAGATGGGGCAGCCCTCAGTGCTTTACTGTGACTGCTTTTGTGCCTCTGGAGAGGGAGCAGGCTGGCCATCTGGGCCTAAGGCTTTAAATGGCAATCTGTGAGGAGGGGGCGGAGGAGACCCATGTGCTCTTCCTCATACTGCTCGCATAGGTGGGTGACTGTTAGGTTTTGCCTGTTTACCTAGTGGTTATGTGTTTGTGGAGTCAATTGCAACTCACAGAGACCCTGTATAGGGTTTCTGAGGCTAATAAATCTTTACGGGAGCAGAGAGTGTCCTCTTTCTCCTGAGGAACTGCTGGTAGTTTCGAACTGCTGATGGTGAGATTAGCAAGCCTGACTCATAACCACTGGTATAATTATTAATAACATTCTCTTTCATTCTTAAGGGTGTTTTGAAATGATGGTTTATATGGGCACCTACTTGTCTGGCAGTGTAATATAAGCACTAGGCTGAAAGGTTGGCAGTCCCAACCCACCAACTGCTTCTCAGAAACCCTATACAAGGTCACTATGAATCAGATCTATAGTGCTCAGTTCTTCTTCATCACTTCCAACAGTTAGACATCTCCTTTCAGCAAAGTCTTTTTCCATTGCCAGGCACCATAGCAATCTGATCCCTTATAGTATCCCCAGGGCCTTAGCAGAGGGCCCATACATTTTAGGTCCATAAACATTTGTTAAGTGCGGGTGCTGGGGATGGTCCTTGGGGTGAAGTAACAAGTGGGTGTCCCTTTTCAGAACTGGGTCTGGCAGTTTGGGCCCCAGGGTCATGGGCTGTCTGCCGGGGGCTCCTTGCTCCACAGTACTGCCCTGTCCTCCTCCTCTGTCAGAGGCATGAAGATTGGAGGCAGATGGCCTGGGACTGTGCACCACAAGTCCCAAGAGCCAGCTTAAAGTGGTTGGAGCTGGGACGGGATACCACTGGGTGTTAGAACATAAGTGTGTTGTAGGGGAGAAGAAAGCCTACAATCCAATGTAATTTATATTGTTGTTAGGTGCCATTGAGTCAGTACCGACCCATGGAGACCCTATGCACAGCAGAACGAAACACTGCCTGATCCTGGGCCAACCTCACTATTGTTGCCACGCTTGAGTCCATCGATGCTGCCACTTGGCCAATCCATCTCATTGGGGGTCTTCCTCTTTTTCTCTGACCCTCCACCTAACCAAATATGATATTCTTCTCCGGTGACTGGTCCCTCCTGACAATATGTCTGAGGTATGAGAGACCAAGTGTGGCCATCTTGGCTTTCTAGGAGCACTCTGGCTGCACTTCTTCCAAAACTGATCTATTGGTTTTTTTGGCAGCCCATGGCACTTTCAATATTCTCCTCCAGCACCATAACTCAAAAGCATCAATTCTTCTACGGTATTTCTTATTCACTCTCCAGCTTTTGCATGCATATGAGGTTATTGAAAACATCATGGCTTGGATCACGTACACCGTAGTCCTCAAGCTCTGACATCTTTGCTCTTCAACACTTTAAAAAGGCCTTGTGCAGCAGATTTGCCTAATTCAACACGTCGTTTGATTTCTTGACTGCTGCTTTCTTGAGTGTTGATAGTTGATCAAAGAAGAATGAAATCCTTGACAACTTCAATCTTTTCACCATTGGTAAGAGTGTTGTTTATTGGTCCAGTGGTGAGGATTTTTGTTTTCTTGACATTGAGATGTAATCCATACTGAAGGATCACATCTAGTTTCATCAGTAAATGTTTTAAGTCCTCTATACTTTCAGCAAGCAAGGTTGTATCATCTGCGTATCACAGGTTGTTAATGAGTCTTCCTTCAAGCCTGATGCCACGTTTGTCTTCATATAACTGTTTTTTCATTATTTGCTCAGTATACAGGTTGAATAAGTATGGTGAAAGAATATAACTTTGTCGCACTCCTTTTTTAATTTTAAACCATTCAGTGTTCCCATGTTCTGTTAGTGTGTTGTTAAGTACTGTGGAGTCAGTTCCGACTCATAGTGACTCTGCACAGGGTTTCCAAGGCTGCAAATCTTTATGGGAGCAGAACACCTCATGTTCTGTTGAAGACCCTGTATTTTCACTCTTTTGTTTGTTTAAAGGTAGAACTTAGCATTTTATTTATATCTTCATTAAACTGTTGGAATTGAGAACCAGACATACATTGGCCTACCTGGGAATGCTGGAAAACATGTTGTTAAAGGAATCATGGTGTTGAGGAAAAAAAAAAAAATCTTTTAAAAAGCTGCCATCTGAGGTGATGGCTTCTCTGTACTTACGCCATACCCCAGAATACAATAAATACGCAATTAGAAAATGTTCAAGTATGAAGGGATTTCCTCCTCCCCGCCAAAAGCAGTGCTCTCTGAAGGAAGCTGGTTTTTCTGTAGCTACACCAGCTGTTCAGAAAGCTCATTGGACCTGGTTTTGAAAATAAAACAAAGTTAAAACCCTGGGAGGAGTTATTGTGCAGTGTGGAGTACTCAGTCTTTCTTATAAAGAAAAAAAAAAACAATGTGGTACCAAAGTGTGCAACCTCTTCCTATCCAGGAGCATGGCACATTCTTCCATTTTTATAGGTCTCTTTTGGTTTCTTGTAGTAGTGTTTTATAGTTTTCTTTGTATAGGTCTTTTGTTTCTCTGGTTACATTTATTTCTAGATATTTCATACTTTGGGCGGCTATTGTAAATGGTCTTGCTTTCCTAATGTCCTTTTTAAGCACTGTCATTATTGGTATAGAGGAATCCACCTGATTTTTGTATGTTGATCTTATATCCTGCCACTTTGCTGAATCTTCTAATGAGGTCTAGTAACTTTTTTACTGAGTCTTTGGGGTTTTCTATGCATAGGATCATATGGTAGCAATTGCTGTCTCTTTTTGGGTAATATAGGGAGAGAAAGATTCTCTCAAAGGGTCAAGGGAGAACAAAAAACAACCAAACAATAACAAAAAAATTTTAAAAACAACAACAAAAAACTAGATTGGGTACTGTAGTGTGTAATTGTAGAAAAGAGGGAGAGAAGAAAAAAAAAATCTGTGAGCTATTATGAGTATGATTTTAATATCCTCTTTCAGCTTCTTGCCTTTAAGGTCACCTGATAAATTTCAAGATGCCACTGTTGGTTGTTATGCTGTACCTCAGGATTTAATTTTCAGACTGTTTTGTTTTTAAACTCTCTCTCTGTCTCCACACCCCTTGTTCTGGCCTTTTCCTATTAATAAACAGTTCAGGGCCAGGTTTAAGTGCTGAGAACACCTGTGCGCATGCATTGCAGAAGAACCCCCCCAGTGGTTGGGGTGGGGGGTATCCACTTGCTCAGGCACTCCCTCTAGTCACCAGAAAGGAGGTGTGCAAACAGTGGGGGGGGGGGGGCAATGAACAGATACCAAAAAGAAAGTCTGAACAAAGCAAAACGAAGTATTTGGTCATCAAGCCTGGCATATTCTAAAGTACGAGATTTCTTACTTCCACTACAAGTTCCATTAGCTATAAGCCTTCAAACTTTAAACATATTCCTAGATAAGTGGTTCAGTTTTGGAGCTCTGCCCTGAACCCACTTCGTCTGGTATTCTGAGGTATTGCTGACCGAGATCTTCACTGCACCTCTACCCTATCTGCCAGCAAGCCCCGCCCCTCCTTATTGACTCTTAAATGGGATAAAGAGAAGACAGACACAAATCATCTGGATGAGGCAGACCATCAGCATGAGGCGATAGTGGTATCCCTCCTCTGGATGATCTTTGTTCTGTTGAAGACTTAATAAAGGAGTCTCTGTAAAATAATGATACAACCTTGCTTGCTGAAAATGAAGAGGACTTAAAATACTTACTGATGAAGATCAATGACCACAGACTTTGGTATGGATTGCATCTCAATGTAAAGAAAATAAAAATAGTCACCACTGGACCAATAAACAACATTCTTATCAATGGAGGAAAGACTGAAGCTGTCAAGGACTTCATTCTTCTTGAATCAACTATCAACACTCACGGAAGCAGCCGTCAAGAAATCAAAGGACGTATTGCATTAGGCAAATCAGCTGCACAAGACCTTTTTAAGGTGATGAAGAGCAAAGATGTCAGCTTGAGGACTAAGGTGAGCCTGGGCCAAGCCATGGTATTTTCAATAACTTTATATACTTGCAAAAGCTGGACAGTGAATACAAAGACCATAGATTAATGCTCTTGAGTTATGGTGTCAGAGGTGAATATTGAAAGTGCCATGGGTTGCCAAAAGAATCAATATAATAAGATCTGTGTTGGAAGAAGTGCAGCCAGAGTGCTCCTTGGAGGCCAGGATGGCCAAACTTGGTCTCTCATACTTAGGACATATTGTCAGGAGGGACTAGTCACTGGAGAAGTATATAATGTTTGGTTAGGTGGAGGGCCTCCCCAGCGAGATGGATTGGCAAAGTGGCAGCATCAATGGGCTCAAGTGTGGCAACAATTTTGAGGTTGGCCCAGGACCGGGCAGTGTTTCGTTCTGTTGTGCGTAGGGTCGCTATGAGTCAGTACTGACTCGGCGGTACACAACAATAACATAAAAAATTTGCGGTCTTTTTGCCCCTACAACATGTGAGTGGAGATGGGGAAATAGGAGTGTGGGCTGGTGTCTGTACCGGCAAGTCAGCTGAGCAGATGGGCTGGGCCCTAGGCAGGCTGGTGATAAGCTGTAGGGAGCGGCCATCTCTGGCCACAGGTCATAACAGTTCTCCCTAATTCCCTTTGACAGATGTGAAGAAACAGCTGTCCTCGGTGCGGCCCAGCTTGGGTTTTTTCTCTGTTTTCATCTGTCTACGAGGCACCAAGAAGGACCTGGGTCTGGATTCCACCAATTACTATGTTTATTTTGACACAGACATGGACAAGGCGTAAGACCTATATGTGTGTATGTGTGTGTAGGGAGGAGGTGTCAGTACAGGTCCAGATTCCACATGGCCCCCTCTACCTGGTGCAAGGGGAAGAAACAGACAGGAATGTACTGAGGGTGCTTTCCTCTGGGCTGCATTGTCCCTAGCTAGTAGGGGGCTCTGAGGAAAGAGGCAGGATGGCAGCCCCTCTCTTCTCACTGCAGGATGGAACGTTACTACTCCCTACCCAGGGACAAGGCTCCAGCACATATCCCCTTTCTCTTTATTGCTTCTCCCTCAGTTAAGGATCCAACGTGGGAGGACCGATTTCCAGGTGGGACTTGGGCTCCTGGTGGAGGAAAGGGGCTTGGGATGAGGGGGGCGGGAGCAGGGATAGGACTGAGCAGCAGTAACCCCAGTTCTGCCTCCCAGACCGCTCCACGATGATTGTGCTGATTCCCACGGTCTATGAGTGGTTTGAGGAGTGGCAGGAGGAGCCACAGGGAAAGCGGAGCAGTGACTACGAGACCCTCAAAAATGCCTTTGTTGAAGCCTCTGTGTCGGTGGTCCTGAAGCAGTTCCCCCAGCTGGAGGGGCAGGTAGGGGGGCAGAGTATGTGGTGGTGGTGGTGACAAAGCTCCATGTCCACTCCTTCCTTCGGGTAGGGGAAAAAAGCCTGAAGTAACAGCCCCAGGGAACACAAGGACAGAACAGGGCCTCTGGGGCTTTTCCACTCCTGCCCTGTGACGGCCTTTCTTTCACCCTTAGGTGGACAGTGTAACCGGAGGGTCCCCGCTGACCAATCAGTTCTTTCTGGCTGCCCCCCGAGGTGCTGTCTATGGTGCTGACCATGACCTGAGCCGCCTACATCCTAGTGCGATGGCATCCATGAGGGCTCAAAGCTGCATTCCCAACCTCTACCTGACAGGTACGCACTGCCTCATTTTGCCATGACCTGAGACTCCTTCCCACTCCCCCGGCTGCCGTCACCCAGAACTCCTGTCCTCAGGCCTACTGTCCCTTGCTGCATGTCCTGGTCCTGTCCTAGTGTCTGGGAGGCTCAGCTTCAAGAGTAGAATGTGAGTGCCCGTGTCCCTCCCTCGGTCTGGCTGGATGCTGCTCTTACCTCCTAGGTCAGGATGTCTTCACCTGTGGCCTGATGGGGGCCCTGCAAGGGGCCATGCTCTGCAGCAGTGCAATCCTGAAGCGCAATTTGTACTTGGACCTTCAGAAGCTTGGCTCCAAGGTTCAGGCAATGAAGAAGAAGAATTAATTTAGTCAAGGATGAGTCACAGGAATTTGCCTGTGGTTAGGGCATATTCCTGACCTAACATCTTCCTTGTCCGTATAAAGATCTTAAAGTGAAGTTCTTCTAGTAGGGGCAAAAGATCTTTTATAACTTTCATAGCACACTATTCCTAGTAAAGATTCAGTCTGGGCCATTGGTTTAGCTATCTCGGGATCAGTACACCCATTCCTGGGAACAATCAAAGTGAATATTCTCTTATTCAGTTGGACAGAACCTATGAAAAGGGGTCAGCTGAAGCACTTGGTCCAGTTCTGCCCTGAGGTTTCTCCTTTCACTCTTTCCTGCAGAAAAAGGCAACTAGTGAGCTTTGAAGACCCTGAGCAAGCTTTTGGTTCTGTAGTGTCAAGGGTCTCCAAATCTCACTTTTGCTCGTTCCAATGACTCTTTCAGAGGGCGGGGAGAAATGTCTCTAGTGGCTCCATGTGGCAGGGGACCTGAGGGTAAAGGCCATAAGCAAGGTCCACTGTTAGAATGTCCAGTTGGTGTCAGTCAAGTCCTAGGCTAGTCTTCTTTTGATTGGAGTGGATCTGGTTTAACGTGCAGCAATGTGAGCCTCAAGGTTTATCTTCCAAAATACCTGGGGAAGGTTGCTTTCTGTCAGGACACAGGACCGGAAAGATGGTTTCCCAGGGGAAGATGCAGACTGCAAGGGCATTCTAGGCCAAGGGCAGAGCAGTGGACAGCTGAATGCACTACAACAGACAGCTCAGCTACCTCCTATAACCTGGGCTTAGTGGGGGAGGGATGGGTGGAAAATTAGTCTGGATGAGAAAATGAAAAGGCTTAGGAACAGTGTTTCTAGTTAAGTGGCAGATCTATAGAGACTGGACTGGAAGGTAAATGAACGCTGTAGGTTCAAAAACAAAATTTCACTTGTGTTAAACTAAAGTACAAAAGGCCCAATTTTATTCCATTTTAATGTAATGTTAATAAACTTAATGCTTTATAGCTTTAAAATTTGCAAATTGCTTTATGTTTTCTTTTCAGTGATACAAAACTACATCAAGATGGCATTCACAAAAATGAGAGTACAACATTGTGTGCTGAAAAACACTGATCAGTAGACCAAATAAACTTTAAAAAATAAAGTTACATAAAAGCTGATCATACAAACACTGAAACAGTGGCAACCTACTAACTGGGCAAACAAAAGAATGGAAACAATTTTAATCATTTATTTAACAAGGTAGACTTAGGAATCAAAGGAGTATCTATCAGAGTGTGCCGTGGTTTAGTTTGTTGGTAGCTTGAGGTACCTGTCATACAGCTCAGACCCAACATACAGGATATTCACATACGACTTGTGGAGCTAGTGGAGTTGAAATACAGTCTTGGCTCTGGATACACTTCAGTGAGACCTGAAAGTCTCTCCCTAGGAGACTTATTTAAGCAAGGCAATGCCCAAACTCAATCTTCCTAGCCAAAGTTTTCAAAAAACAGCCTGACAGAATCACATTTTCACATCTCAGCTACCTTGTGCCACACTTGCATAAAAAGATATCGTTACCCTATAAAAACAGGGCAGATTTCCTTTTTTAAAATTTACATTACATGAAACTGAAAAAGATAAGGAAAATCACTATCATGGAATTTTAGAGTGAAGTCTATCACTATTTCATTAAAAGTCATCATGGGGGGAAAATGTCATTTTCAAGTCTTTCTGACTTGACACAGTCTTTCTAGTAGAATGACCTTGGACTCCCCTAAAGTTCAGAAGTGGACTGTTAGAATAATTCCACTCTGATCTGTGTCTGAAGTCCAGACTCCTAATAGAAATCACCTTCAAATGAAAGTGGGAAAAGGCACAGCTGAGGGGAAGAAAAACCAAAAAGGTAGGAAGCTATCAACCTGCAGACTCCTTGAGGTACCAGAAAGTCTAGAATTTGATTCTCTAAGCCATGAGAGGTTCAGACAGAAGCTTCTTACCAGGGCAAGTATTTCGATCAATCTTGTCTCCTTATGCACATTAGAGGTTCAGACAGGTGAACAAATTAAAGTGACTCTTGGGGGCAAAAAATTCTAGGCAAGAAGTAAAAATGGGCAGGGCTCGGGGGAGGGGGAGAAAAAGAGGCTATCGAGAGATGACAATGGAAAGAAAGATTGGATTTGGTGACCTGATAGCTGGTAACCTTTGGAAAAACACTGATAACAGAAAGATAGGAACCAAAGTGAGTTTGCAAAGGTGTGAATAGAATGAACGGTATGGTAATGGAAGCAACACTTACTGGCAAAATGAAACAGCAAGAGAAATAACCAATAGGATGGAGAGGAGCAGAGTAAAAATCAGGGCATGTATGAAGACAGTAGGTGTGAGTGAAGGTCAGCACAAAAAAGGAACGAGAGGAATAGAGAATAGGGAAGGGAGAGAAGGGAGTAAAATAACGAAGGTCTTAGGGAATGCTAGATCCTGGGAAAAGGTTCCTCCACTTGGAGTATATTATTATAAGACTCATAAACAATCCGACTGATGCCAACAGAAGTATTCCTTCACACATTCTCTGCATAAAAGAGGATATCTAGAATAAAAACTTCAGCTCAATGCCATGGGCCATTTAAAGCAAGGTGGGAGCTAATATGAGAGAGCTTCAAAAAGTCCATGGAAAAGCAGAATGAAAAGGTAATGGCATTTTTCTGCAAACTTTTTGAAGCCCCCTAGTCTGACAAATAAAATGGTTCTTTCTTCAGACTGACTTCTTCAACAGATGTTAAAGACATTCCCTCTAACCCCCATTCCTGCCCAGACTTCCCTCATGCTTTGTATTTCCCTGAGATTAGCTAGTGTACTTTAGCTTGTCCTTCACATAATCATCTCTCTTGGCTCTCTACAATAGGGAAGCTAAACTAGAACACACATAAATAAACTTCAAAACAGTGTAGTCCAAGTCACTACACTCAGTTCCCCACATGAAGCCCACAGAATTTCTCAAATTTTAATGTCACTTGACATAAAACAGAAGAACTTTTACTAGTTACCCTCAGCAATTTATCTCAGATTAAGACCACCAGTCGGAAGAGTAAAAGCTCCTTAAGAACACAGTCTCAAACCACAGCCCTCCAATACTGTTCTCCTTCCTGAAGTTCCTGTTGAGACTGATGAGTGTGAAGCCCATGGAGTCATAACCACATTCTAAAACTGCAACAGGAACAGGGGTTTTATGGCTTTATGCCTAGAACCCCAGGTTCACTTTTATACTTGGTACAACCATACAGAAGTCGATCCGTTTTGACTTAAATTACATGAAATTATCAGAAATATGTGAAGTGCTTATGCTACAAAGTTCAGACTTGCAGACAATAAAACACTATTTCAATTTGCTGTTTCTCAACTCTCAAGAGAATTATTTGTTCCAAAAAGCCCTCCATCCATTAGCATTTACCATCTTCTTTGTCTCTGAAGGGCACCTCAGAAATCTGGGTCACAAAATCTCTTAACTGGTAGAGGCTGCTCCTAGGTCTACAAAGAGAACTAGCAGAGTGTGATGCTCTCATCAAAGGGTAACTAACCTGAGCCGAGCCAAGGCAGGGTGATCGGCAGCACTCACCTGCCTAGGGCTGGGGGCTCCCTTTCTCACAGCTGAGTTCCAACCTGCTCCCTCAACTCCACTTAGATGGGTAAATTACAAATAAAGCAACACATGAGTACATCACCAAAGTGCAGGTGCAAAAACCTAAACTATTCCCCAATTCCACCAGTCCGGTCCTACCACATCCCAGGGGAGGTGTCTCTTGGGTCCCAGTACTTTTCATTTTTCTTCATTTTACAAACAAATCAGCAGGGAAGACAAGGTTCACAGGGGAAAAAATCAAATCTGAAACGAGAGCAACATAATCCATTGATAACATTCATTCATGTCTTTTCAGAAGAATATACCTATCTTGATTTTGGAAGAAAAAAACTATCTTATAATAGTTCTGATGGTGGTGGTGTGCCATGGAGTCAGTTCCGACTCACAGTGACCCTGGTATAGGGTTTGTGAGTCTGAAAATCTTTACAGGAGCAGAAAGCCTCATCTTTCTCCTGAGGAACAACTGGTAGTTTGGAACTGTTGACTTTGAGGTTAGCAATCCGACTCATAACTACTACACTACCAGAGCGCCTTTATAAAACTTGGTTTAGGGGGAAATTCAGAATTAAGACAACTGGGCCAGCACTGAAAGAGGTTTGGCAGTTAAGATGTGCTTATCCCCATGGCGCAATCTCACACTAGATTATTATCTATTACAGGTAATAGTTAACTCTATGATGATTGGCAATGAGCAGCCAATCAATTGAAAGGATGTTTTCTTGTGATGTGTGGCCTGCTCCCAATACAATGAACATGCAGGAAAAACTCTATGTTTCACTGGGGAACTGGGACACTGTGAGTCATTTCCTTGATATAAATTTCTCTTTTTATATGTACATAATATTTAAATTTCAATGGTTTTGCTTCTATCAAGAACCCAGCCCATGACACTGATCCACCAGTAAACAGCAATTAATAAAAATAAAAGCATATAAAATTATTGTTAAAGCCACTCTGAAGCAGTTGCTGAGGCTGCTCACGTGTAGCCAAACATCTCATGGAATTTAGTTCTTTGGTTTGGAGGTTTAGGGTCATGGTTTCATGGTAAGTCCTAATTAACTGGCCCAATAACATGTTTAGTGCATCTGTTCTGACTCCTACTTTGTTGTGTAGCTTGGGGTCTGAAAAGCTTGCGAGTAGCCATCCAAGCCACAACAATTGGTCTCTATCACCTGGAGCGACAGAGGAAGGAGTCAGGAATAGGAGGATATTGAATATATGACTCGCTGTCTCCATTAACAATTGCTTCCCTGCCCTGAAGTCAGAAAAACTGGATGATGCCTAGCTACCATTACTCAACATTTTGATCAAATATTCCACAGAAGAATCCTCATCAAAATGGGGGAAATGTAGAACAGAATTTCAAATTTCCTATGGTACTGTAGGTTAAGCACTGGACTGCTAACCACAGATCACAAGTTCTAACCCACCAGCTGCTCCTTCAAAAGCCTATACAGGGTCATTATGAGTTGGAACTGACTCAATACTGACAATACGGATTCTAAACTTACTGGAGCCTTGGAAAGCAGGTGAACCCCTGAAACTACTGCCCTGAGATCATCATTAAACCTGAAACCAAAATACCACCTGAAGTCTTCTTAAAACTGAATAATAGTTTAGCTTAACTAGTAAAATAAGGTTTGTACTGAGCATTATCCTTTTTGAAGAGCTATCTAAAAGGGGCTTCAAATATTTATGAAAAAATGGAATAGAACGATAACGGAAGTGTTCCATGAACTTTCTGAAGCCCCCTCGTGCATGGAATCAAATTGATGACAGCTAATCAAAAACACCTTAAAGGACAGAGAGTCTGTGTCAATAAGGGAGGGACAACTCAGAAAAGGAGGTGAGAAGGGTTACACAACCTGAAGAAAGTCATCCAGGTCATGGAGCTGTCCATGCAGACTGTGCCGAACCAGTGTATGTTCTGCTGTGAATGCAGGGGGCTTCAAAACAATCAAGGAAAATTCCATTTTTTCCTCAAACTTTTTGAAGCCTCTTGTATTCCCAATAGGAACAAAATAAATAAAACTTAAAATCTGTTTGAAATAAAACATATGCTAGAAAGACATACAGTTGGGGGAAAGAATATCGGAAGCTTGACATTCTGCTTCATACTACTCTGTACTGCCTTGAATTACATGTGTCTATTTTTCATTTAGCAAAAACAAACAAGCAATTGGAACCATGGCAATGAAACGATAGACAGTGGAATGAATGTAAAACTAAAATTCTCTCATGTAAACTATCATATATCATATAACAATAAAACATGAAAAAAAAAAACCAAGCAAACTGTGATGAAGAGAAATATGAAATCACTGTTAGGTTGTGAGATGCCATGGGTCAGTACCGACTTACAGTGGCTCTACACACAACAGAGTGAGAAACTGAGAGCTCCCGCACCAACCTCACAGTCGTTGCTACATTAACGTCCATAGGCGATACGAGGCCAGGACCCATTGTGAGGTGATCCATTGGGCTAGTTAATAAAGATGGTCTGGTTCTGTACGTGGTACGAGTTGTATAAGTGAATTCTGTTCCTTGCAGGAAGTCTGGGAACCATTCAGTTGAGCCCTAATTGCCCTTTGCCAATGGCCTTACTGTGGCTAAACAGGAGTGGGGACGGGTGTGGGCTGGTGGCAATGCAGTGGGCACCCACTGTTCTCACTGAGACAGGGAGTCCCTGAAGAGAACTTGGTCTGAGGGTGGATGCTCAAGGCAGGGCTGAGCTGCAAAGTTGAAGTCATTTGTTTTCAGGGGATGGGAGTGTAGTGCTGTGCTACTTAAAGTGGGTTTCAGCAGCACTTGTGATCTTAGAAATGCAGCTGCATAGCTTCCCCCATGACCTGTTACTGCGGTGCGCTGTCAAGTTGGTTCAAAGACTGCATTCGGTTCTTTACAGAACCCTAGAGAACCTTTATAGAAGCACAAAGCTTCATGTTTCTCCCTCCGAGCAACTGATAGATTCCAATTGCTGACCTTGCAGTTAGTAGTCCCACCCATAATCCACTTCACCACTGGGGCTCTTCTACCCAGACCTTAGTAAATCAGAATCAGAATTCACTTTTTATCAAGAATTCCAGGATGAACCGAAATTGCGGCGAAATCAGAACAGACCTAAAGTTTTGAAATTTGGGTGAATGGGAAAAATGATGGCTCAAAGCCCTAGAATGGGAGACACTGAAGAGGCATAGCGAGTCCATTCAACAAGGCTGACATGGGAGACTGGGTCACTCCCAGGACTGTGAGAGCGATCTGCACTGAAAGCAGGATGGCCAGCCACCATCTCTGTGTGGGGACCTCTACTCCCATGTCTGCTGTTCAAGAGAGACGGCTGGTACTCAATCCACACACTGCCCTGATCTTCCAAGAGGGAGATGGCGTTTCTAACACGATGTCTAGCTGTAATGCTTCCTGGTCTGATTCACTCCTGTTTCAGAAATGTGAGTGCCTGCTGGTTTTGCTTTGTCTGATCAGGATTCTAGGGATCTGCTGTTAGGACCTGCTTTTGTTATCCCCCGTTGGAATGGAAAGTGAGATTCTGGGCCTGAGTCTGCTCATCTGTCAAAGGAGGTAGTTCAACTGTCAAAGAATACTGCAAGGGAACTCTTAGCTCTAACACTGTAGATACGTACAGTTAAATGTCTACTCTGAAATCTAAACTGAGCGGGAGGCCAGGCAGCAGCACCCCAATACCAAGGACAGCAGCATTCCATAAACCATCTACTGCTGCCATGCCAAATGCAAGCCCACTGTCAGAGCCATCTGAGGCCACACATCCTTCCCACGGACCTGGCTCCTCCTTCCTTACCTTCTGGTCCAAACGTTGATAGTCACTGGCCTTTGGTCGTCGAACAACTTTGGACTTCTTTCCTTCCAGGACAAAAGCAATAATCTGGAGAAAGGAAAACGAAAAGGATTCTAGTAGAGTTGTATAACAAACTATTTAATGGGACTGATGCCCTGATTGTTGCACACTGGGGTGGCCCTTGCGTAGCTGGTTGTTCAGAGGCAAGCAGCACAAGAAACCACTAGAAAGATGAGGGGGACAGATTATCACCAGGAGAGAAAAGGAATACAAAATTTGAGTTTATGTGTGGGGGATGGAGGGTTATGTATGCCTACACAGTGTCCTGAGAGTACCAGTAGCCTGAGTTCTCACAACAGACTTTTACCTTACCTAGGGTTCACTGGGCTCAAATTTATCAGAGCGTAGAAAACAGCACAGGCCCGGCAACACTTTACTTAGTTATAGCTATATCTATATAAGGTTTCTGTGTGTCAGAGTCGTCTTGATGACTCTAACAAGGACTGATAGATACTGGGTGCAGTTTCACCAGGTATGTAAAAAGGCAGGCTTTAAGTAGTTAACATCCACTTATTTGGGCAATTTAAAAAATGAGATGTAAAAAAAAAAAAAAAAGAGTTTAGTGCTGATGGACTTTTTGGGCTCTGCTTAATATAAAGTTAACATGGGGCTAATACAGAGGCCATCTTTGTTTCATTTATACAGCTGCTTAACAGGAAGCAGGTGATTTTGGTCTGCAGCTTGTGGGGTGTGTATGATTTACCCAAAATCTACTGAATTGATAGGTTTGCCAGCTCATCCCCTGAGAGCATCTTTTTTAAAGACCATCATCAATAATTATTTTATATTTGTACTGTAAATCCTAACCTCTATAACGTTGAGGCAGGTTAAGTGTAGGGGTGTATCTTGACCCACAGCCTTACAACAGGGTGTGATACAGGTCTCATCCTGACTTGAAGAGGAAGTCTCCTTGGGAGTGTGCACTACATCCATACAGAGGTACTGGCAAGGTTTTCCCTGCTCTGGCTCCTGTAGCCAGTTCATCAACATCTGACCTTCAGTTTGGGGGACAGGAGGTGGCTTCCACCTCCCATGAGCCAATGGTCTGTCATCTGACTCGCTGATTGTGGGTTCATCAGCCTCTACAGCCTTTGAGTCAGGTGAAGCACATGTGTATGTTTCCTTGGTTTTACTTCTCTGGAGAATCCAACCTAGATCTGGTTAGAAAAGGATCTAAGAGTTTTTTTGATTGGTTCACTGAAGCATGGATTAAGCCACATTGTTGTTGCTAAGTACCGCTGAATTAGTTCTGACTCAGAGTGACCCTGTATGAATGGCTGGTGGGTTTGAACCACCGACCTTGTGGTTCAAAGTGAACTTTTGGTCCAGTACTTCATCCTACAGTGCCATACCAGGACTCTGGAATAAGCCACAGCCTACACTAAGTCACAGTGAAATGTCAGACCTGCCTTGGGTACAGTAGACAGTACCCAAGGACTTAAAGACATTCTGTTGTGCACAGGGTCGCTATGAGTTGATACCAACTCAATGGCACCTAACAACAACATAGGTATGCAGGTATTGGTTTGTCTAGTGCCCTTTTTTCCATACCTGTTTCAAAGGATCACCAGAAACAATCTGCTCTCAGCTGGCAAGGCCAGCAATAGACCTGCATTATCCTACCTCACGGGTACATCAATTCTTCACCCCTCTGTCATAATTTAGTTGGCAGGGATATTGGCCGACTTTCCCTTGTACAAGTTATCACACTGGTAACATTATGCTGATTGGACCAGCTGTTGTTATTGTTAAGTGCTGCTGAGTTGGTTCCAATTCACAGCAACCCTGTATAGGGCTTCCGATAAGTGGCTGGTGGGTTTGAACCACTAACCTTGTAGTTAGCAGTCCAGTGCTTATTCTACAGCACCACACCAGGCCTCCCAAGGAAAAAGTATCAATGACTCTACACATACTGTTATAACATTTGCATACTAAGTCCAAACCAAAACCAATGCCATCACATCAATTCTGACTCATGTTGTTGTTCAGTGCTGTTGAGTCAGTTCCAACTCACAGCAATCCTGTATAGGGTTTCCTAGGAGCAGCTGGTGGGTTTGAACTGCTGACTTTGTGGCTAGCAGTCCAGGGCTTATCCTACAGTGCCACACCACGACTCCAATTAATGAGTTGTTGTTGTTAAGTACTACTGAGTTTGTTCTGACTCATAGTGACCCTGTTTAGTAGGGTTTCCAAGGAGCAGCTGGTGAGCTTAAATTGCCTACCTTGCAGTCCAGCACATTAATCTACAGCACCACACCCTAACTCCAAACACACACACACACACACACAGAGAGAGAAACATACTTCACTGGGTTTCTATCTGGAGAATCCAGCCTAAGACATATTGTTGTTAGGTGCCATCGAGTCAGTACCAGCAACCCTATGCACAGCAGAACACAACACTGCCTGATCCTGGGCCAACCTCACTATTGTTGCCATGCTTGAGCCCACTGATGCTGCCACTTTGCCAATCCATCTTGTTGCGGGTCTTCCTCTTTTTCTCTGACCCTCCACCTTTACCAAACATGATATCCTTCTTCAGCGACTGGTCCCTCCTGACACATACTATCACCCTTTCCCACGCTCACTCCACTTCCACGGTGTCTCTCCCTGCTGGAGTTAGATCATCTGGATGTGGAGGAAGGGAAGCCTTCCGTCACTCTTTACAGCTACAGGCCAATTGCCAGCATGAATTAGACTCTTCCATTTTAACCAGGCTACAAAAATGATCTCCTAAATACTTACAGTTCAACAGGTACCAGAGTCATTTATTCAACAAAGTGGTTGCTAAAGAACAGAGATGGAGTCCTAGTGTGGATAAAGTATTGGAATATGAAGTCAGTTTGAACTGTGAGGTCAGCAGTTCAAACCCAATGGCCACTCATGGAAAACCCTTACAGGGGTCACTATGCGTTAGAATTGATTTGACAGCATTTAACAACAACAACAACAACAACAAGGAACAGAGCTATTTCACACCAACTCCTGTTATAGTAAAAAAATGTGTGCCATTTCTGGGCTTTCTCCTGTCAGAACCTCTACATTGCAGGAGTTCTGGTGTCTTGCTGTGGGTTAATTCATCATACTGCAAAGTTTTTGAACTGCAAGGTCAGTGGTTCAAGCTTACCAGCTGCTCCACGGAAACCCTATACAGGGTCCCTATGGGTCAGAATTGACTCAATGGCACTTAACAACAACACTGTAGAAGATAGCCTCAGGGCTCCTTGTTGTTGAAGCAGAAGACTTAGTGAAAACTTTCTTCCACTGTAGATAGAAGCTTGGGAAAGGAAGCAAGAACTGCTGCACTCACCTCAAGAATGTAAATGGGATACAGGTGCTATAAGTACTTATAAATGCCACACACCCAGGTACTCAAAAGTTATGAAAGATTCACCTTTGAGGTTACTGAAGGAGAACTCATTCAGCACAGGCTGTAATACGAGCTTAAATTGGCAATTAATGCAAGGCTGAGTATTAAATGAGCAGGAACAGGTGACATGATGGAAACAAGAACTATAAGGGGAGCAAAGAGTCCTAGCAAGATCTTAGGGAAAATTTTAGGTTTGTCATAAAATCCCCAGTACTAAGAAAGGACAAATGAAAGCAGGAAACATAGGGAGGAAGTGGGATGAGTTCTATTACATTGTGGGAACTGCCATCAGTATACAGAAACAAAATGCAGAGGAACTGTTGCACGGAAAACCAGTTTGCTCTGTAAACTTTTTTCACATGAATCACAATAAAAAGCTAAACAAAAACAACCCATAAACAAAAGAGAAAGGCTGTGTGCTGGGGGCCAGGAGGCAGGCTCCCAGAATGTGCAACCTTTTGGTTGTTTAAATGAATATATATTCCAAAGTGTTTTTGTGTGTATCACGAGACCACCCCCCTCCCCCCACCCCCCAAAAAAAACCCCGAGAGGAAATAGAAGCAAATACTGTTGAAGGATGATGAACGGAGGAGACTGTAATCACTGCAATGAAATGAGTGTAAAACCAATGTTCTCCCAGGTAAACTATCATTCAATTCACAATAAAAACTTATTTATAAAATAACCCAACAAAACCATTAAAAAAAAAAAAAAAAAGCAAAAACTGTAGGGATGACTTTTGGAGCAAATGAAGAAGATTGTAGGAAACGGGTAATAAAGAGAATATTCTGATATCTCTTTAAAAAATCCCCAGGGCTAACAAGTCAATGAGTTAAGGAGACTGGTCCAGACACCAGGACTTAGAGTAGAGTGGAGGAAATGGCCTTCCCTACCCTAAGGAAACTTTTGTCTTACCTTTCGCTTGTTGTGATAGGTGATATAGAGGGCAGCAACAAGAATGGCTGCAGTCACCAGATATGCAAAGAAGTGGCTGCTCTCTGCACTGGCACTTACAGAATTGTCCTTGAAAAGGTCATCCTTCTCACTGCTACCACCCAAAGGTGGACCTACATGGTCCTCACTGGAGGCACGATCTGACATCCCTCCTTTGGGTGAGGTCTCTTCATTAGGCTCTGCATCTTCTCCTTCAACTTCCTTGGGCTCCACATTTTCAGCAGGTTTTGAAGATTTATCTTCTCTCTCATGCTGGGGAGAAGAGCCTGTGGGCCCTTTTTCCTCAAGTTCTGCCCTGGAAGCATGCTGAGTTTCGCTGTCAGCATTCTTTGAATCAGGCTTGGGGGTTTGCTTGTCATTAGAGTCTTTCAGGGTCGTGTGTTCCAGACCCAAACTGCCAGGAGTGCATTTCGTGGGCTTGGGTTCCGAACTTGAACTACCAGTAGTGTATTTCGGGGTCGTGTGTTCTGAACTCAAATGATCGGAAATGCCATTCGGGTGTTTCGTGGACGGCGGATGCAGAGTGGGTGTGGTCTGATCTTTCTCCGTATTTGGGTGGTCCCGGCTGGGCTCTACAGTGGTTCTTGTGTAGGTGTTACTTCTTTGCGCAGAAATGGAGACCAGATTTTGGGTCACTGGCGTGTTGGAAGTGCTTTTCGGGATCTGCGGTAAGTTTTCTGAAAAAGAGGAACCAGTTGGCCCTGGAAGAGCCCGAGGCAACGAACAAGCAGGGGAGGGCGGGAGTTGATGTCGCACCGAAGGAGGGTAGAGCAGGGAAGAAGCAAGACCAGATGACGATATGCAGAGGTGAGGGCATAAGAGCAGGGGGCAAGACTGGGGCGGGGGTAGTAGGGGTCTTACCTGTCGCTGAGAGGCTCAGGAAGACCAACGCAAGTAGGAACCGCATCCTGCAAGGACTATGCTTCCGCCCTCTAACGTCTCGCGAGAACCGCATACGGGATATCAGGCGCAAGCTCACGGCCCCGCCTTTTCTGCGTGCTTCTCGCAGCGCAATGCCGGATGAGGTGGGTGGGCCGGATGAGGTGGGTGGGACTTCCCTCCCTGAAGCCTAGGAGCGAAGTCCTTCTCATTCTTCTGACAGAACATTTTACTCAGTGGTTGTACTATAGGGTTTCCATGTGTAGGGCGTGCCTGCCTCTGTTTCTCGTTTTGTTTTTTCTTCCATAGCAGCCACAACAGATTGTCACTCTATTTTTCTACCTCGTTTTACTGAGACTTGAGACGGGTATTGGTCAAGAGGGATTACGTCACGAACGGTCCCACGGAGTAAGATCCCTGGGGCCAGGCGTCTCTTCCCATCCTGTTAGCATTTTAAATCTCAGCTTAATACTCGTGCTTTACCCGCACTCTGCCATCTAGCTACAAACCCATCCTGTCACTTAGGTCTCCTCACTCTTCGCATCCAGTCCGGTTCGGTCCAGGTGGCTAAAGATCGTTTATTAAGAGAGACTGGGGTTTTTTTTCTCCCTGATAAGAGTTATTAATACTCACTGTAGAAATTTTATTAAAAATTTGTTGTTAAGTGCCATCGAGTCGGACCCTGTATATGGTGTCCAAGGAGCAGCTGGTGGGCTTGAACTGCTGACCTTGTGGTGCAATGCTTTAGCCAGCAGTAGCACACCAAGACTCTGGTTAGAGTATGGAACTAGAAAACAAAATCTTACTCTCATCCTTCAGAGAAAATAATTATTCATGTTTTAGCTTTGCAAAAATTTAATAGGTGTTTTTTATTTCATAATACGTTCTAATGGTTGAAAAATGAAGACTGACTTAAGAAAAAATTTGTCTTAGAAAGTTCGTGCTTCCCCGCTGCTACAAAAATTACCGATGACATTGGGCTTATTGTGTCCACCATTTTTAAAAAAATGAATACAAATGTATTTGTCTTCCCATGTTTACCGTGTAGATTGAAAATTTTTTATGAATAGTTGCAGACTACATAACTAAATGATAGACCTTAACTAGTGGGCGACACAAATATTAACCAAATACCTACACAAAGATGTGTGTGGGTGTGTGTACCTGCCAATAAATGACAAGAAAGTAAAGTACAGGAAAGATTTGTTGAAGAAAGGACCTTTGACCTTTGAGTGTATGTATTTCCTAGGTGGGGCTGTAGAGAGGAGGAGGCAGAGCACATTGCTGGCTGACTGTACAGCAAGTGCAAAGGCCTGGAGGCACAGGGGAGTGTGGCATTTGCCAAGATAACAGAAATCGAGAAGAACTGCAGAGGATGAGGCTGGAGCAGAGCCACATAAAGGAATAAATGAGCTGGGTGTCATCCAGAACATAAATATTTATGAAGTTCAAAAGTACAACTGAAACTATTATGCCAGTTCATTCCAATTGAAATGTAAATTGGAACCACCCAGACAGAAAGGACTACAGCAGCCAGAGGAAATAGCACTCCTGTGTAGTGTACTGCAGGAGGAAGATGAGACTGCCTGCTCCCTGAAAGATGCAGAGCCCTGAGAACTCCAGGGAGAGGTTCTCTGAGCTGTATCATCACTAGGAGTTGACATGGACCTGGTGGCAGTGGGCTTGCTTTGGGTACTCTGTTGAGTACAGTATTTGGCATGCAGTTTGAGTCAGTTGCCATTCTGAAGAACATCAAGGAATAAATACATGACATAAATCCATTTTTCAGGAGTAAGTGCCTTATTCTCTTACTTAAATTTATTAAAAAACATGCTTCCCAAGAAGCCATTCTAAGAAAATTTCACACACATGCACACATTACTGAAAGGATTAGAAAAGTGGGAAATCTTTCACCATGTTATTTCACAATTTTAACTCTGTTTGGCAATGTTGTTGTTGTTAAGTGCTGTCGAGTCGGTTCTGACCCATAGCAACCCTGAACAGGGTTTCCGAGACTGTAAATCTTTACGGGAGCAGAAAACCTCTTTCTCACGCGGAGCAGCTGGTAGTTTCGAACTGCTGAACTTGTGGTTCACAGCCCAATTCGTAACCACTAATGCTACCAGAGCTCTTTCTGTTTCACTATAAAGGAAATTAATTGTTTTTTATATACTTTGAGTAAAATTGTCCCATCTTCCCCAAATGTTTGAATTACATTAAAATATATTGGCTTAATGGAGGAGCCCCAAGCCCCATTGCTAATGAGTCCAGTCTGACCCACAGTGACCATGTAGGGCAAACTAGACCTACCCTATAGGATTTCCAATCTATACAGAAGCAGAATGCCTTATCTTCTCCACCCGAGGAGTAGCTGGTGCATTCGAACCACCAACCTTTTTGATTAGCAGCTGAGTGCTTAGCCACTATGCCATCAGGACTCCAGTGAGAGGGGCGATGTGTGACGTCCACAAGTACAAGGCAGGAGAGCAAGATCACGTAGAATTGTGAACCATGCCCTGGGTTTTGTATTCTATCTAAACAGCAATGAGAAGCCACTGAGAAGCTTGTAATCACAGGTTAGGACTTTTGTAGATTACTGTGGTTGTAGTGTGAAAAATCTGTTTAGAGGGTGGCAAAATCAAGAGTTAATTTCAAAGTTAATCAGGAGACTTATTGCAGTTACCCAGGTGGGAGTAGTGTGGGCACGGAGGATTGAGAAGTGGTTGGATTCACAATAAATTTGGGAGGAAATACTAGTTAAGGCCTTGCAATGAGGGCAATTCAAGTGTGGAGATGCTAGTTCACTGATGTAGCAAGTTTGATGAAGTGGGCACTAGAAATTAATTTTCAGTCAGTTATGTGTTTAAAATACCTGTGAGACAGCCCCGTGGAAACAGCTGGAAGGAGGTAGCTGGAATTGTGGGCATGAAATAAAGTGATTGTCCTTAGTAATTGAAACATTGTTAGAAAACATGATTGTTAATGGTTTCATAAATCTGTTATGAATTTATCATTCGTTTTCTGACAGTCCCATTAATGTTGGATGTTTGGGTTATTTTTAATTTTCTACTGTAGTGTGTGCTGTTGAATCAATTCTGACTCATTGTGACTCTATATGACCAAGTACAATGACCTCATTGGGCTACCTACTTGTAATCTTGACTGAAGCAGATTGCCAGATCTTTTCTTTCTCAGAGTGGTTCGTTGGTTTGAACATTCCAGTTAGTAGCTACTATTTACCAAGTGTCAGGTGTTGGTGTCTTTTTAAGATGAGACAGACACTCAGAAAATAGTAAATAACTTGTCCAAGGTCACTACTACTCACCTAACCCTTGGACGTGTTGAGTGTTCTTAATCTGCCAGTTAGAGAGGAGAAAAAGTGTCCCTTTTATTCTTTAGTACTGACTGCACAGCAATTCACACGACTTTGGTCAATTTATATAATTGCTTTAAATGCCTGCTTCATTATGAAATGAGTATAAAAATGTTATCAGAATTAAGAGAATTCATGTATAGTATTTAATACAGTGTCTGAAACAAGACTCCAAAATTGGTAATTATAATTGATGTTCATTTTAGACAAATCTTGTAATTCAAAGGTAAGTATTATGAACAATTATCGTGACTATTTTTGTGGTTCTTTTAAATGGGCATATATTTGTATCCGATAAGGCTGTTAACTGGAAATAAAGCAAGTTACAAAATCGTATGTACACTTCTTATCTTACAGGCTTCTGTGGCAGTTAGGGCTAGAGCCAGTCGGGTCACTGTCTCCTGGGGCACTACCATCTACGTGTTTCTGACCGATTCTTTTCTGAACATACAAAGGCTCCTAGTTGCCAAAGCAATGAATTGGTTTCTAGAAGGAAAACGAAATCAACAGTATGAAATACAGCTCAAAGTTTAAGAACTTAGAATGAGGAATTTCAGTAGAGTGGTAAAAGCAAAGCTTGGTTGCAATGGGCTGAACAAGGTCAGTGGAAACTACTTTTTCTAGAAGTTTGTATGTAAAATAGCATTTTAAATATGAAAGATGATTGAGTTTATTGGTGGAAGGGAAGGATTCATTAAGAGAGTGAGGTTATAAAGCAAAGATAAATAATAGGATAAGGTACTGAAAGATGAAGGGCCAGGGTATGGGCACTGCAGAGAAGTTGACTTTGAACAAGAGTTGACCTTAAGACTATTGGAGAGTGAAGCCTCCAGCTGATAAGAGAGGGCATAGGCACAAGAACACCCACATTTGCAGATAATACCCACTTGACCTGGCTTCAATGACTGGATGATCAGAGCTCAACTAGAAGAAGAAAGAAGAGGAAAAAAAAGAGTAATATGATACAATTTGATGAATTTGACCTACACCTATGGATGCAGTAGCTCAAAAGAGGGAACAAATCTTTACAGCAAAGGTCATTCCCACCCCCTCCATACACAGAGTAGATAGGAATGGGCAACTTTGACACTGGCTACCCAAAGTGGGGGGCTACAAAAGCAAGAAGTGACTGGCTTACAAGCTTTTAAGATGAAACCTAGATCCAGACAGGTCTCTTGTCATACAATAGTGAATAATTGTTATCAGGACTGATTGTGAGGGTTGGAAATGTAAAGGTAGACGTTTTGTAGTAAGGAGGGGAGTGATTAACCTTGCAGTCTAGGAGGGAGGTCCCTGGGACCATCAAGGGAGAAGAGCAGAGAGTGGGACCGTACCCAGAGAAGCAGTGATGCCTGAGATGGAGGCAGATACTATGACTTGGAGAGATGGAGCAGGTGGGGACTTTAGACACAGAGAGGGAGAGCGGCTATGTGCTGAAGACTGAGGGGCAGGCTTGTAGGCTATACCCTTTGGTTGGTTGATGATGCATGGAGGGGACTGTAACCATGGCAATGAAATGATATATAATAGGATGAATGTAAAACAAATGTTCTCCCATGTAAACTATCACATAATTCACAATAAAACATTAAAAAAGACTATTGTAAAGGCAAATAGAATGGGTAGGATTTGGTGATACCTAGGAATGTCTAATG